AGGGCAAAATTTGATGATAGGCTGTTTATCCTATAAAATGTTTCTCAAATAAGTATATAAACTAGCCTAGCTCTTATAATCACAAGCTGTCAGAAATATACTTTCTGCCACTAGCATGAAGGTTGATAATCCGATGAATAATCATAAGAGTATCTTCTAAGAGTGATTCAAAAGCTACTCAAAAAGTTAACTTTCTCTCCATAAAAAGCTGGTTTACTTTCACAGAATATGAGAGCTGAGAAAGATGCCAATATACTACAGAGCATGTAAAGGAACTCTTAACCGACAGAGACTATAATGCAAGAACAGACACAAATGGTTTAAAGAAGGGTTTTTAATATTTAAAAAATGAAGGACAACAAGAAAGCCATAGAGAGATGATATAAACCAGCTTGCTAAATTTGGAAATTACAGAAAATCAGACCATGAAAGAGCAGCTGAACCACTATTTGTCACGGGTGACTAGACTCAACTTACACAAACAATGGCCAAATTGCAAGGGCGAGGCACGTATCATCGAATTAGTAGAACATTTTAGGCATGCCTTAGCTTTAACTCTTGCTTACCACATTTTTTTTTTTTTAATTCTGCATAACAATGCTTTGGGCATCACTCTATCCTCTCTACTGGGATCTTATAGGTTAGATCCTTTTTGTATTTTGGGCTTTTGCCTAGTAACATTGTACTCTCATTTTGATATTAAAAAAGAAAAAATAGAAAAACAAACTTAGACACTATAGTAAAAAGCATCAAAAAGTAAAACAAGTACTTTAAAAACTGCTTGGGACATTTCATATTATTCACAATATCTTAATCACTTGTATCTTTATCCCACGGTTTTAAAAGGATGGATATCAGACATTTAAATTCTATTTTCAATTCACTTATCAAGTTAGTTAGTTTGTTCCAGGACATTAGGACTTCTTTATAACACTTTGACTTGCTTCTATAAACGTAGGCGTCCTGCATGGCTGCACATAAGACTAAGTACAATTCACTTATTTACTAAACATTCTAATAAGATGTACTATAATGTTCAGGTGGGTATCAAAACTTGATTCCCACCTGTTAAAACTTCCATACACTATTACCAGCATAGAAAATTGTTTACAAATTGTTAACGAAATAATGCTTACAACCTGCACATAACTTCTGTTAACCCACTGTCTATGTTACATTCTATCAAACCCGCTGACTCTGATATGGAGAGCAATATCGTTCATCATATTGAAAGCAGAGTGCCCAGTTTACGTGATTCCAGATGACGGTAAACACCGCAATCAAATATTAAACTTCTAGTTTATTATCAAAGAAAGACAAAGAAGGATAAAGGTCTGTCTCCCAATGCAATATTGGAGCAAACCAACTAATCAGGGACTGAAATATTGGGTAATCCAAGCAACAACAACGTAATTTTGACAATCCTATAGCCCATAGAAAAGGAGTAAGTTCAAATATCAATCATCCCATTTAAAATGAATTGTTTTACCATAAACTTCCCAATAAAAGCAAAGTTTTTATATCTAGAACTACCTTTCCATAAACTTCCCGATAAATGCAAAACTTTTATATCTAGAATTACTTTTTATTGTCTTGAGAAACATTCAAGAAGCATTGGATGATCCAGATTGGAAAAGACGCAACTATGGAAGAGACTGATGCTTTTGAAAGGAGTAGGACTGAGAGCTTAACAAAAGGCAAAAGGACAGTCAACAGCAAATGGGTGTTTACCATCAAATGTAAAGCTAAGGAAGTGCAGAAAGGTACGAGGGCAAAAAGGATTTACCAAAACATATGGGATTGACTGCTAGGAGATCTTCATTCTGATGGCCAAAATCAATATAGTCAAATCCTTTAGTCCCTAACTGTAGACTTATATTGGCCTCCGGTTTTTAGTCAAATCCTTGAGTCCTTTAGTCAGTAAAACCTTCCCATAAAGGGGCCTTGAAGAGAGGTATTTATGAAGCTCTCACCAAGTTTTAAGGATAAAACTAATGAAAATGAGAGAACAGGCTGAAAAGGTGATTGCATGCCCTTAGTCTCCATGTGCTTGGTTTGAATGCTTGGGAACCGCAGTTAAAAGCAAAGCTTTGGGCACAACAAAATCATGTAAATCATATCATGTTTCCAGAACACTAAATGAATGATTTTAGACTGAGGCAAACTACAAATGCAACCTACAGCATTAATATACCCACTTCAACAACCATGCTTTCTATCTCATGAAATATGCCTTTTAAGATTAAAAAACACTTTTGCAGGGTTGCTACATTTGCTTTCATGACTACATGTTTAAAGAACTTTCTTAATGAACACACAAATAAACTCATCTTAGGGAAGCAAGAGTTTAGGAGATTCTTGTGAAAAAAATTATTATGGAAACAGAAATTTGTTGCAACAAAGCCAAAAACACATTATGACATCTAAAGGTGGAACGATAAAGTTAGTTGCACTTAGATACAGGATAGAGAAGAAAACTGTCAAGTTTTTTTGTTCTTTACAATTGATAATCACAAAGGAAAACCTGTGGTTGCATACAGCTTGTGGCAGCTGCTTTACAAAACTTGCTACAAGTAGCCATGGTGATTCTACAATATTGTAGTAGTTCTTAAAGTAGTCAAATTATAGCGATTTAGGTGAAAGCTCAATCACATTAGATAATTTAAAGGCATGCATGTCAGGCCAAGAGGTAAGCATGCTAAGCAAAGTCCCTATTCTAAACAAGGGAGCCCCAAACTTCTTTACTAGTAGAATGTACTACATATACTAGACTCATATCTCACACATATAAGATTGTTCAGAAGAAAGTCAAGCCAGTACCTCAAACTTCTGTCTCTCTACTACAGCCTGGTGCGGTGCGCACAATATTCACATGATGGATTAGATAGGAAGATTCTATTCTATTAGCTCAGCGGTGCAACTGTAACTGTAACTGTAACCAAGGATATCCAACAAGGCCACAAGCTCAAATGTGAAGCTTGAGACATTTCTTAGACGCTAAAACTTTGACAAGGAATTAGACCATTTAACACATCTTGCATTGGCCACTGGCTCACGACTCCTAGCTACCACTGTTAGCAAACCCTCTGGTTGTCACCAGCAAGACTGTTCCATTGCTTAGTTGGGTGAAATTCAGGACCTCTCAAGTTGGATGGATTTCCTTCTGCAGCACCCGTTGATCTCACCAATCAGCTGAGGGCAAACTCCAAAGTTACAAATAATAATTTACTAAGTTTAAAAGGTTGAGGAGGGATGAGTGGAGGGAAAGATAACAGGGCAGTTGTATGGTATTTAGTAAAATGGGAGGCTGTATAAGGGTGTCAAGAATATGGCAGAAAGGTCCAAGGAAAAGTGTGCTAGCCTCTCAAATGCTAGCCCGCGATGATTGCGTCTGTTTTCTTCAATACTGCATTTATCATGTAGTTGAGTGTTTTACTTGATCCGTGTTATTAATTCTACATCTGTCAGTGTTGTTTGCATGAACATGTTCTTGTTGGATCAAAGGTCAGTTTATTTTGTTATTTTCCATCATAATTTTTTTCATTACTTTATGATTTATTTCTGTATTCATATTAGCAGTAGAGGGTTCTACCACAGTCGTTATAACTATAACCTTCCAATCCCAAGTTTAAGGCCTAAAAAGTTTAGTAAAGGTTTCACGGGATTGTACAGTTACTAAAATTTCAAGATACCCTGTTGGTGGTGTGAAAAAGTCGTTAAAAGAATAACCAGTCGCTGAAATGCTTAAGCATTGGCTAACCACAACGTACTTCCTATCTCTTGCTTCACATTAGGGTATAGCTCTAGCTCTAGTCTACGCAATCACAAAATCTTTGTTCCTAATAACTCGGTGCGATAAAAATATATATATATATCATTATTTTAGCACTCCACAAAAGTTTAACAGAAACCACTATAGCTATCAGATCTCTCCAGTAGCATATCAAACTAAGGCGAGTTAGCGACTTCCACTCAATCTCAAACACAACTGAAACTTGGTACCACTTCTCTTGAACATTCACTTCAACAGGGTATAGCTCCCATATAAAACATTATCAGTAATATATGGCAGAAATTAACCTTGCCATGTTTCGATTAAATCAATAAAAAGGAAGTTTCCGTAAATGGCATGTTTATTTATCTGTGCATGGCTATCCTTCATGAATGGTCCAAGCCAAATATGATAGCACATCATACAGCAGTAACATTTAGGAAGGTACTTAACAGCTTTGAATAAAATATTAAAATCCAAAGCCAGAACTAAATTGTTGTATCATATGAGGACCTCATAAATTCATGATAACCTTATATCTTCAGTGAAGAATGAAAAACGAGAACCAACAGAATTAGAATATACTCTTCTCCCATCCCTCTCCTCCTATTTGTCAGTTACAGTAATTAAATCTAAAAAGGAAAAAATAGGTTACAAGCATTGTTCCTCTTAAAGCATCCATTTTTCCGTCAAAGTAATGTGAACGAACTTCGTCAATCAAACAATTAAATAACCAACATTATTAAATTAAATTTTAAGTATAAACAGCAACAATAATAAGGCTGCATTACTGCCCCCATTACCACCTGTGTATCATCATATACTTAATATGTTTGTTTCCAATTAAATCGAGACATGTGAATCATTATTAGATTATTTATTCTATAATAAACTCCTGTTATTAATAATATAAACACATTAAAAATCACTTGTTTTAATTTGAATAAATACAAGTACATTAAATATACAAGACTAAGTCCCTAAGTTTTGCCCATTCACAAATTACTGACGCAAGACAACATTATTAAGCAAATTTTAAACATAAACAGAAACTTAACCCAATTTACAAGACATGACAAATTTACAATTACAAGCCAGAAATAATACCTTTTCCTGAGACTGAGAAATCACACCATCCACTTCCACGGGAACTGAAGTAGCTACCATGGTATCATGTAGTGGCACTTGGAAAGATGCGTAGTTTCCAGCCGCAGCAGAAGCAGCAACTTCAACCGGAGCTTTCATCTCAGGGGAGGTGGTGAAGTATTCTGAAGACATGATCTTATTCAACTTCTCCCTCAAATTCGCATCTACAAATAGGCTCAGAATCAGCAAGATACAGCCATATTAACGTAGAGAAAAACTAACAAAATAAGAACCAAAAATGGGGACAATACACGTAACATCAACATTCGGCTCAATGGGCTGCTCTGCCTTCGCGAGCCATGGCTTCGCGTGCTCTACGCACTGCTGCAATGCGTTTTTGTGGGATAAACTTGAATCTGCAGGCCGCGACATTAATTGACTACTCAGCATAGCAATCAAATCCAAATCCTTCTCTCCAAGTAGATCGGTGGCGTCATCGGTTACATAATCGTAGGTCAAGCAACATCCTCGCTCATGAGTTCTCGTCAGCATCGTCGAGGTGAAATCATTCTGCGACTTCACATCAAACAAGGACCCAAAATAGAGCAGATTAATAATATCTTCCAACACAACGTGGTCCAAGTCTTCTTTCTTAGACTCTGGTTCGTCGGATTTCTGGTGATTTTCTTCAAGTGGTTGGGAAGCCAGGGAGATTTGATTATTCTGAAGGGCAAGATGGACTTCTTCCTTCACGGCAGAGGAAAGAGGTTGGCGCAATTTCTCCAGCTCGTCGATAAGAGCCGAAACGGTGGGTTTCGAACGAAGGACTTCTTCTTGCTCCTTGTTGATTGATTTGCCCTGAGAAATAGACTCTTCCATCTGCAAAATACGATTGTATTTCTTGCGGAGGCCACGGATACGCTTGTTAATAAGGCTGAGGACAGGACCGTCGGTGATGTAGGAGGCTGCCGTGGCCGCCATTAGCACCCCCACCACTACTTCTTTTGAGTCGGCTTACTGGTTAATCCTCCTTAAAGCACCGCCAGGAGCGTTGGCGGTGAAAATATAGAAGATAAAAGAAGGACGGAGGTGAGAATGCCTAGGACGCGGAGCAAGGCGGAGCGGCGAGAGAGAGGAGGTGCGAGCTCGCTCAACTTAGCTATGCAGTGTCCAAACACCGAATTCTCCAAGACAATGTTGACTGAGTAATTGTCGATTTTATAAATAGAGAGAATTTTTCACCGACGGCAATGCTGGTTTAAACTCTCAAACGTGGAAATTAGCCGCCTTGCCACATAATGGAACATTTTCTAGAATCCCGGTAAATATATTTATGTATTCTTTTAATTAATTATTTTATTATATGGGAAAACTCCTATAGAATCCCCTGGAAAATTATTTAGAAGGATCAAGACTAATTTAAGTATTAAATGGACATCAAACATATTGGAAGGAGCGTGATGCACAATTTGTTGGTGTGTCAAGGTCTCATAAGAAATTAAGTAAAATAACAACTAATCAATAAAGACTTCATTTTTATTTACATTAAGCAAAATTAATTAAAATTAATTGATTAACAAAACTTAAATTTAAATTTAACAAAATGCAATAGGATTCTTAATCCAACAACCACTTGTGTAAAAAGTAATATAGAGTTACTAATCTCATATTAACTTCATAGACTCCATCTTAACCTAATTAATTGATTTTAATACCAATTTTATTAATCGAGAGTATTAATAGTTACAAGTGTCTTTCAATATCCATTAGTAACTATCTCTCAAATTAATTATGTTATATGTCTAATATAATTATCTAAGAGGCAATTCAAACCAATAACACTCTACAGTGATTATATAGGGCAATTATGTATATGTTTATCCTAAATACAAAATAAATAAAAATTACTAAACTCTCATGAAACCCAAGCTTCCTTATCTCATCTAGGCTTCTTCCCTCTCCCCTAGGCATTCTTGTGTTGCTAGAGTCAAAGAATAATGAAGAATGACGAACAAAATCCTTTATAACCCTAAAAATATCAATTTTCAATAAAGCTATGCATTTCACTAGCTAACAATCAAGTTGCAACATATTTCCATTATGTTGCAATGTAAATTACTATCACTAGCTATTACACTTTAGCATGTTGCAAGGATGTTGGGCATAATTTCAACTTTGCTTTATCTTCAATATTTACTTACAAACAACATTTTGATTATTAATTTGGATCACCCTACACACAACATAGCATCATTTATACAATTTTAGATCAAGTTATCAATTGATTTCAACAAGATGTTATTAGTGCTCCCTTCTTGTGTTCAAAAGCATTTTTCTTATATTTTTCTTCAAATAAAAGCCTCATTTTCTTTCAAAATTAATTAGATGACTAATTGAACACAAAACTCTCTAATAACAAAAGTATTTGGAATCATGAAAGCATGTCAATACATTTCTCTGTTAAACACAACGAGTTTAAAGAAAAGTCTCTCGAACACTTCAACAACTCAACTTTTAAGTCAACCTACCTAGTGCAAACTCAAACTAACCATGCATCACTTCAAGCTCGCCCATCATGAACCCTCTTATCATTACATAGCTTATGTAGACTAAATGGTTAGTGAATTTATTATCTCCCAAATGTCGAGGAAAAACTACTAGAAATTATGCTTTTCACGTCGCCTTTTAACATCGGTTTGACAAAAGATCATGGTTATAAATAAAGCGGTGGCAAAAATATAATTAAGTTGAGATATTTGACATCGGTTATTTAATAACCAACATCAAAGTAATTTTCCATGTTAGTTACATGAGTAACTGATGTTGAAAACCCAAAAAAGAAAAAAAAATTACAATTACAAGGATACGATGTCAGTTACTAACCCATGTAATTGACGTCATATAATAGTTTCAACATTGGTTAATGTAGTAACCGATGTTGAAAACCTACAAAATAAAAAAATAAAAAATTTATGGGATACGACATCAGTTACTCATGTAACCAACATTATATCCCTTAAAAGTAAAAAGAAAATTGAGAAAAGGGATCATGTAACTGATGTTGTATAGTTTTAAAACACACTTTTTCCAAGATTGAGAAAAAAAATTTTGTGAGTCTTTATATGGCATCAAAGTGCCCTCAAGGTATTCTTCAAATGTTAATAGGCTTGTGTCAATGGAGGACTTTAAATTAATAGGCCTAAAATATCATGATTGTGATGTCCTAATGCAACAATTGCTAGTTACCAGTAGCTATTCGAGGCATCCTGCAAGATGATGTGAGGCACTTTATAACTAGACTTTGCTTCTTTTTCAATGCTATATGGAATAAAGTATTTGATCACAGTAAATTGGATATGCTAGAAAATGAAGCTTATATTATTGTGCCAACTTAGAAAGCTCTTCTTCCTTCATAATTTGATATCATGGCACACATAAATGTTCATCTAGTAAGGGAGATAAAGTTGTGTGGTCTTGTTTATTTAAGATATGGATATATCTAGTTGAAAAAATAATGAAAGTCCTAAAAGGATATGTGAAGAATCTTCATTGGCATGGAGCATCCATTGACTAAAAATATGTTTATGAAGAACTAATAGAATTTTTCCAATGTTACTTAAATACAATATGACCTTTTGGGCTTAGTAACCCTTATGAGGGGAGATAGGGATAAACATGAGGTTACAATAAGAGTTTGGATCATGATTAAGCACAAAAAGTACACATACATATCTTGAATAATATTGATGAAGTTCAATACTATATATCTATTCATAAAGAACTTATAAGGAAAGAAAACCATTGAATGAGAATGACACAGTATAGGTTAATTAGGAAGAATAATATGACTATTATAGGCCTCAGACCATACCAGAAGTGAGTTTATTTATTTTGAGTTATGAATCATTTCAATTATTAATGGTTGTCTTTATTGATTGATTGTATTTTTTTTTAATTCTTATTTATAGGGAAAAAGGCAAAAGTACAAGAGAATGGTGAGAAGAATCATTATCCTTGCATAATGTCTTACGGGAGTTATTTTAAGGTTGACTAAAACTTGATGGCAGCCAAGCGAAAGAGGATAGAATAATAAGATAAGTCTCATCCTTCCATTCTAACTCCACCATCTTTGATATAATGCAAAGATAAATGGAGGTATATTTACCAAATGAGGAGCAAGACCTATATGAGTATAAATGCTCACATAGTTGCAAAAAAAAAAGAGGTTATAATTGCTAATATTATTTTCTTTGTTTTAGTTAACTAATTATATTATTGCTTATGGTTGTTATTAGTAAGTTATAGGATGATATTAAAAACAAATAATCACATGGATCCTTAACTCCAAATGGAAGGAATGACATCTTAACTATTGCTATGAAGAAACAAGAGTATCCTAGTTGTGTAAGGGGAGTCAGAGGAGGGGTGGGAATGAGAAATTGTGGATAATAGTTAAGATGTTTGTTTCCAATTAAGTCCTATCCTCAACCTTATTAACAACTGTTGCTCACCGTAAGTATACAGGTCGTAGCAAGTAATATCAAATGAGTAAAGTATCATTCCCTCGAGGATTTGCTTAAAAACTATAATTAAGCAAAAGACTAAGTAAATTCAATTAAGTTGAGCTACACAAAATTAGGTTAAAATGATTTTGCAAATGAAACTAACAATAGAAAATAAAGAAAAGTGAGTGATTTACAAACTTCCAACATAATTTATGACCTAGAATTATTTATCCCCCTTGCATTTCATAACACCAAAATTACATCCTCTCATAAATACTTTTAATGAAAATAAGTGCTAACCTGAGATTTTAAAAATACTTGGACAAGCTTTCTCAAGTCATGAACAAGTGTTTAGTTAAATTAATTGCTCAATCACTTATTATAATTAATAAAACTTAATTTTAAACACCAACTCTAATGTGGCTATGCAAGACTAGCAAGCATATCTCTATCTTACTAGCAAAACTATCCATTTAACATGCAAATATCAGTTTGTACACAATTTTATCTAAGTTTTACACTCAACCTAACCCTCTCAAGCATCTAAATGGTGGCCAATCACTTAGAAGCATTAAGGAAAGAGTAAAATAAATACATATATATCATTAATCATAAAAAGAGAGGAGGAACATAGTGTTAATCCATACTAGGGTTCCAAATAATCCTAAAATAAGGGGTTTAGCTACTCATAATCATCCACAAGCTACAAATATACAAAATAAGTGGACCCATTTCAAATTACAAGATATGAAAGGGAAGAGGAATAGAAAAACCAAAGAAGAAGAGCTCCAAATATCTTCAAAGCTTCGATCTCTTAATCCCAACTCTTCCAATGCTCAAACCCTAGCACAACCAAGCTCAAAATGTGTCTAAAAATCTCAAGAATGTGTTCTGGGTCAAGCTCTAAGCATATATATGTCCTAACCAACTAATTTCTGATAAATGAAATGCAGTATTTTTTGACAGCTGTGAAAGTCGTGAACGAAAGTCACGACTTTGGGACGACTTTGGTAGTTTTGCACTGTTTTTTGCAACTAACGAAAATTATTCATTTTGCTATTGATTTCTTCATCCAAAAGCCTTCCAAAAACATCCACAAAGCTCTAGAAATGCTTCTAATCAAAATTTCAATCAAAATAACATGAAATTAGGCTAAAAATATCAAATTAAAGCCAAGAATACAAGCCCAAAATAAAATGCACATTTTCCTAATTTGAGAAATAAAAATATATACAATTGAACCAAAATGGATTAGAATCTAAGAAAATGTGATGAAATAACATGAATTTCTAGAGGTTAACACATCTCCAAACTTAGATTTTTGCTCGTCATCGAGTAAAACAAATAATAAAATAACTAGATTGATCAATTATTCATCTACTAAGTATGCATGAAAGTATCCTCACTAGTTGCTCTAAATATATATCAAAGAGGATAGCAGTGAAATATAAAGGAATGCCTGATTCACAAATTAAGATCATGCTTTCCAACAATTTAGAAATATGTGTGTGTGAGACCAAAGGATGATTTTCCTGCAACTATCAAGTCAAAATGTAACAACTCAATATGCATGAAACAAGCTTAATATTAAGACTTTATATATCTAAACTCTTCTTCTCTCTCTACTAAAAGATCACTTCACATAATTTAAAATCAAGGGGATTTTGTAAGCTTATAGCGTG